TTTGCTGCTCTTGGTGTGTTGCGCCGCTGGGTGCCTCGCTGTCGCTCCCGCCCAGAAGCACCGCTGCGGGTTTGACGAGATGATGGGGAGGGGGCCGCCGGTGACTGCGGTGGTGCGTGACGTGCCGCGCAAAGGACAGGGTGCAATGCAGGCGTACACTGTCGCCGCAGAAAGCGTGGAGAGTGAGTGGGCCCTGATCCGCATCAAGGTGTCTGCGAAGGACATGGACGACCCGTCAAAGCACTGCACCGCAGTGGGGGATATGAGCATGCCCGATGGCAGCAGGGTGAAATGCACAGAGGGCGATCTGTTGACGGAGGCGAAGAAGGACATTGTTTTGAAGCAACTCCTCCCCGCCGCAATTAAGATGCACGCTGAGCGTCTCTCAGTGAGGCCTGTGGAAGGTCCCATCCGTATGCCCATGCCAGATGATGGTATAGGGCCGTGCAGCAATTTCACCATCCCTTCTTGGCACCGCACGACTGGTGTGAGCGGCGCTGACCTGATCCTCTACGTCAACGCTCTCCCGGCTAACGGCACCGTTGCATGGGCGTCTTTGTGCGTCACTCTGGAGGACGGACGTCCATACGCTGGCGCCGTGAACTTTGACCCCCCGTACATAGGAGCCACTGATCAAAGCGTTATTACTGCAGCGCACGAGATAGCGCACGTTCTTGGGTTTTCGTTCAATCAGTTTTCAAGGTTCAATATGGTTTCCAATGTCTTCAATGTGCGTGGGAAGAAGGAGGTGTGGGTGGTTTCCTCACCGAAGGTGAAGGATCTGGCGAGGAAGTACTACAATTGCCCCACACTTGAGGGCATGGAGCTGGAGGATGGGGGTGGTGAGGGGGCAAGGCTGAACCACTGGAAGGAACGCAACGCAAGGGGCGAGTTGATGAGTCCTAGGGGGCCGTACATGTATTACTCAGCGTTCACGCTTGCTGCATTTGAGGACATGGGTGTGTACAAGGTCAACTACAGCATGGCGGACACGTTGCGGTGGGGCAACAACTCTGGCTGCGGGCTGCTGGAAAATAAGTGCTTCATCAACGGCAGAACCGCCTACTCTGACATGTTCTGTAGCGTTGTGCAGAAATATCAACAAGGGCTGCTCTGCACACATGACCGTCTTTCTCTGGGGAGCTGTGGTCTAACGACTTACTCGAAGCCCTTTCCACCGGAGTATCAGTACTTTGATCCCCCCACAACTGGATGTGATTCGGAGTTTATGGACTACTGTCCGTATGTTACGGGGCTTGAGGCGTCTGGGTGTATAAACGGCGACACCGATATGTTCCCTGGAAGTTTCATTGGCCCGAGGTCACGGTGCGTCAGGGGGAGGATGCTTGAGTTCGATAAACGAGTGATCAGCGATGTGTGCGTAAACACGCAGTGCAGTGAGGGCAAGCTGAGGGTGCAGTTCCTTGGCAACGACACGTGGCACGACTGCAATGAGGGTACGACAGCTGCGCCGTCGGGGGGCAAATGGGGTGGGGGGAGCATCAGGTGCCCCAGATACGCCGATGTGTGCACAGTCCTCCCCAGATTCTTGGCCCGCCCAGTACCAGTCGTTGCCCCGCCACTGGCGGAGGAGTCAAACCCTGCAGACACTTCAGTTGCGACTGTTGGCTTCAGTTCTCTTGCGCTTCTCGCCGTGGCCACCGCCGTGGCGATGACGCCTCTCTGAGCAGCCATGGCAGCGGCTGGGCGCAAAAAAAAAAATTGTGGTGGGGCAATAATGCGCATATGTATACATATATATATATATATATATCCGTGAGCCTGGAGCCACGCATTCAGGATGTATAACACGGTCATAATGCAACCTACACATACACAACGCGCCTCGACGCCTCTTTTGTAAAGCAACGGCAATTCCTGCTTTGTGATGTCACCATTCCTGCGAAATGCACGGAACTGGTTTTTGTTTTATATTGTTATTCTGTTTGTTTTGGTGGGCGATCTCTTTCTTTCTTCCTGGACTGTGCTTAAAGAGAAGAAGGAGAGCCTGTGTGTGTGTGTGCTGGTCGTTCTACTTGCTGTTGCGCGTCCCCACTTCTCGGTGGACGCGCCCACACTTCGGCTTCACTTCAGGGAGTGTCTTTTGTGTTTTTATGTTTATTTGTTTTGTTTTTTTGTGGACTGCGCCTATTCCGCGCCCTGCGTGTGTGTCTTTCCATTACGCCTCTGCTCTTGCGTTTAGCTGTCATTCATGCTGCCTCATTGCATCTTGTAAGTCCTTCTTTTTTTTCTTTGGTCTGTTTTTTTTTTTTGTCCGTGCAGGTCTTCTGAAGGTGTAGGGGCTAACACACACACAAGCACGCACACACACGCTGCGGGCGGTGTGAACCTCTGGGGACGCGTGCACGCGCAAGGCTCTGGTGGTGGCGGTCCCCGCCAACGTGCCCGTGACGCTCAAGCCGTGATGGTTTGGCCGCGAGAACGAGGCGGCGGAGATGCTGCCGCAGCTTCAGTCCGCGGGACCGCTACCCCGCGCTGCAGATGGAGAGAAGGTCTGCGTCTTCGAGTCCAATGCCGTCCTGCGGTACATCGCGCGTCTCAATCGGGGCGGCGGCCTCCTGCACGGCTGAACATTGCCGGAGAGCGGACGGGTGGAGTTGCAGGCAGCTCCTGAGGTGAGGCCGAACGACCAGTCGAGGTGCGGTGGTGGTGCAGTGCCCGGTGCCGGTGGATGCGAGGTGCCCGTGTTGCCGTTGGTCTGCCAGGGTTTGGGGCGGGC